CTACAGAGACTGTACAACAATAAATATCTGCTTGTAAAATTTGTTTGGTTTTATTTATTTGAAAAAAAATTAAAATTATATATATATATATATAGGACAATTGCCTCAGGCTGGAGAGATGATGCATATGTGGTGGTCAGAAGACAACTTCTGGGAGTTGGTTCTTCTCTTCCATCACGTGGGTCCTGGGGATTGAACTCAGGTTGTCGGCTTGGCAGCAAGCACCTTTACCCACTAAGCTATCTCGATAGCCCCTGGTTTTATTTTTAAGACAGAGTCTTACTATGTTGTCCAGGCTGGCTTTTAACTCCTGGGCTCATGTGATCCTCCTATCTCAAGTTTCCAAGTAGCTGGGATGATAGGTCTCAGCTACATCCAGCTTAATGCCTGCTGTTTTAACCCATGACATTTTGGGATAGTTTGATTCATAGTAATAGATAACACACAACAGGTTCTGGAAGAAGCATTTTCTCTGTCCCTTTCTCTCTCCACCCATCTATCCCTTTTTTCCTTCCTTCATTTTTTGAGACCAGGTCCATGTATCCCAGGCTAGTATTGAACTTCTGATCCTCCTGTTTCTACTTTCTACGTGCTGGGATTACAGGTGTGTGCCACTACAACCCAGCCTGGAAGAGGCATTTTTATCCTGACTCTTAACAACACAACTTCTTCCTGTTGCCTCATCAGTAGCAATAACTTCCTATTGCTGTGGTCTCTAGGTGTCTCAATATCTCCTGTTGATTTCTTGTTTCTTTTTTTTTCATGTATATGTGGATAAGTAAGTTGGCATGTGTGTACATATGGGTATGTAAGCCTGAAGTTGATGTAAAGTGTCTTCCTCAATCACTCTCTACTTACTGAGGCAGGGTTTCTGACTGAACCTAGAGCTCACCCATTCTGGCCAGTCTACACAGCCAGCTTATCTCAGAGATCCAGTCTCTGTCTCCCCAGCACTGGGGAGCTGCCACACTTGACTGACTTTGATGTGGGTTCTGAGGATCTGGGTATGATAGACTGAATCCTCTTTTTTTTTCGGTCTTTTTGAGACAGGGTCTCCTGGTAGCCCCAGCTGGCCTGGAACTCGCTATGTAGACCAGGCAGGCCTTGAACTCACAGAGATCCACCTGCCTCTGCCTCCTGAGTGCTGAGACTAAAGGCATGCAGGACCATGCCCGGCCTGAATCCTTTTAAACTGTGAACTAAGTTATTTCTGTCAGTGATGCAAAAGTCACTCATACAGGGTGGGGTGTCCCCACCCACTGAAGGGGACATGTAGGCTTGAGGGGTCCCCTCCACCATGTGCTCCAGCCATGATGTGCCACCACAAGCCCAACTGGGACCAATTACTGGTCATGGACTGGACCTTACCAAGCTGTGAGCCCAAACAAACCTTTTCCTTTATTTTATTTTAAAATATTTTATTTATTATTTTTATTTTATGTGTATGAGTGTATTGCCTGCATGCATGTGAGTGCAACTGTGTTGTGCAATGCCATGGAGGTCAAAAGAGGGATTCGGATTCCCCTGGAACTGGAGTTAAGGCCGTTCATAGCTGCCATGTGGGTGCTGGGAATCGAACCTGGGTCCTCTGCAAGAGCAGTCAGTGCTCTTAACCACTGAGCCATCTCTCTAGCCCTAAACCCTTCCCTTTAAAAAAACTGATTATCTTGGGTATTTGTTACAGTAATGGAAAGGTGATTGACACAATAAGCAAGCCAGTTTCATAGACTAGAAATTGAAATACAGAAAAGAAAAGAGAAATAAGGGCCTGAGAAAGTTTGTTTAGGAAGCTACATTAGGTAGGCTAGTCATCTGGGATGACACTTAAGTCAAATGCAAAAAGAAGCATGGCCAGAGGATGCTTGTGATGGTTAATCCTGCTGGTCAACCTGATGGGATACAGACCATGGATGCAACCCTTGGGCATGTCTGTTGAGGCAGTTTCTAGATTAGGTCAACTGAGGTGGGAGGACCCATTTATGTGGGCAGTATCATTCATGTATGGATGGATCCTAGACTGAATAAAGAGAAGAGTTGAGCTCCAGCCCTCATCTCTGTTCCTGATTGGATGCAGTATAGCCAGTTCCCTGCTGCTTCTATCAGGATGGACCGTGATGCTAGACTGTGAGCCCAAGTAAAACCCTTCCTTCCTCAAGCTGCTTTTATCAGGTATTTTGCCACAGTAACCAGAGAAGTAAATAATTTAAGTCCCTAAGGTGGGTGAGGCTCTGGATGTGCCAGGATCAGGGAGGAGCATGTGTGGCTGCAGCAATGAATGAGTGCAGGGCAGCATGGGAAAGATGAGATGTGAGATGGAGCACCCCCCTGAACCCCAGTGTAAGAAGAGAACCCAGGGTCATACATGTGCTAGGTCCATACACTACCACTGAGCCAAATCACAGCTCTGGAGTCAGGGTTTTACTTAAGTTTAAGGAAGATTTTAATGAAGTCTGGGGACAACTGGCCTGTGGCACTCATGAGCTCTCTCACTGTTTCTAGAGGTCAGGGAGACAGTGGAGGCCAGAGCCCAGCTGGGCATGGCTGTAGTAGTCCTGGAAATAGGATGTAGTGGAGAGGAGAGCAGCAGAGACAGGATACACTGCCTCAGGCTTCTAGGGTTGGCTCATCTGGGCCAGCCTGGACCTATAGAAAAGCCAAGAGAGGCAATTCACCTCAGTACAGAAGTGTAAAAGCCAGGAAACTCATCCCGAGGACCGAGGACCGTTGGCCTCCCTTCCCCCTCATCTGGCTCTTGCTGAAAATGGGCATCTTAGCATCAAGAAGAGTCCTTTGTCTTTTGGATTCTTCCCTGTGAGACTGACTAGGAGTCACCATTTCCCTCTTTCTGTCTATGACCAGGTCTTCCAGCTCATGACCTCGAACCTCTGTCTACAACATCTAAGCCACAAATTGAGCTGCTACGAGAGTCTCAGATACAAAGACCTATAAGGGGGCAGTCCTAGCCAACCCTGAGTCAGTGCAGGTGGCTGTGGTCCCCTCATCATCTTGGGGACCACAGCTAGGACATTTTTTCCACCTCTGTCTTATCCACAGCTGGAAGAGTCCTTCAAGAGTCTCTCTTCCCTTGGGAAGAGGCAGAGGCTCCAAGATCAGGTCTCTGAGCCTTCAGCAGGGCTGACCTCACTCTGCTTGTTTTGGAAATCCTTGTAAGAGGCATCCCACCCCCATGTTTTCTAAGCTCTGTGTCTGTGGGGACCATGTCGGATCTGCTGCTATTTCTACAACTGTCCTGCTGGTAGGTACCACAGGCTGGTGGCACACTGATCATCCACCACCTCAGCTTCTGTGCACATGTGGCCACAGTTTGGACAAAGCCAAAGCAGGTGCCTCTTGTGAATTATCTTTTAGCTGTCAGTAGGAGAGATGGTTTGGAGGCCCATTTTGAGGCTGAGGAAAATGAAGTTCTGTTAATCAAGTGATGTGGGAAAGGTCACATTGAAGGCTTGTGCTCCACCTGGACCCTCACATTTATGTCAAAACCTTATTTCTCAAGGTGGGCCCTTCAGGAGATAATTCAGTTGTGAGGGTGGAGACCTTGTAATGGGATCAGTGCTGCTCCTTCTAAGAGGAGTATAAAGAACTTCCTGTCTTTTTCTATCATGTGAGGACACAGAAGGCAGCACTCTGAGATCTAGAGCCCAGGGCTCTTAGGACTGGAAAGATGGCTCAGTGGTTAAGAGCACTGGGTATTCCTGCAGAGGACCTATGTTTAGTTCCCAGCACCCACATGGCAGTCATCTGTAACTCCAGTTCCTGGGGATCAGATGCCCTCTCTTCTGTCCCCCACAGGCATTGCATGCATAGCTGCACTGACATACATGCAGGGAAAATATCCACAGACACAGAAAATAAAAATAAATAAATAAGCCAAAGGGGAATGGGGGTACAAAGCTGATTTTCTGTATGAAATACACAAAAATTCAATTAAAAAATAAATAAACGAATTTTTTAAAAAATAAGTATTTTGTGGAGCAGCCTGAGCTGAGCCCCCACCCTCCCAGCCTCACCCAGATGGAAGGGAAGGACCAGAAGGAAGCTCTGGGGCCCTTTCCTAGCCCAGCTTGGTCTTGTCTCACTGGATCTGCCTAGGCAATTAGCACTTCCTGTCCTGCCCAGTCCCAGGTTGCACAGTGGGCCTAAATCACCCCTGTGGCCCTAACAGGATGGCACAGCCTTTCTCAGATTATTACCTGAATTTTATTTTCCTCAGGTCTCAAATGGACATGAAAATAGTATTACCCCTATTATTTATTTCTTTAATTACCTATTTTTTGAGCGGTCTATTTCCGGTCACCCTTTTATCTCTAGGCAATTCAATTTCTATTCTAGAAAAGGCATGGAGTCTGACAAAGGCAGGGCCACCACATAGGCCTGTTTCTAGTATTTTCCTGTTCCCTCAGGAAATACTCTGAATGACAGGTGAGGTTCTGGCTTCAGCTGCTTGGTTCCATGTGGCTCCTAAGCCACATGTTCCCTGTCCACCAACCCTCATAACTTGCTTTGCTTACTGTCTTGTATTTGAGCCCAGTATCTCTGCCTTCTGTTGACCCTGGCCAGCTCTTGGCCTCTACAGCCAGTCCCCCCTTCTCCCTAGGTCTTTTTCATTTTTTAAATTAAAAAAATTTTTTTTGGTCTTTTTGAAACAGGGTCTCCCTGTAGCCCCAGCTGGCCTGGAACTCACTATGTAGACCAGGCTGGTCTTGAACTCACAGAGATCCACCTGCCTCTGCCTCCCAAGTGCTGGGACTACAGGTGTGTGCCACCACGCCTGGCTTCTCCCTAGGTCTTAGCACCAGGCAGTTCTAAGACCCAGAGAGAAGGCCCCACACAAAGCCACAGACAGGATCAGCCCCCAAAGCTTCTTTTCCCCTGAACGAAGCTCCAGCTTCCTAGGTGACCATGGTCAGGTCTGTGCTCTGTCCAGAAGGAAGTCCAACTCACACCCCGGGACCTGGCTGCTTCAGACCACAACTACCTACCGGCTTGGGGCAGTGGATGTAGCGTGCCAGGCTGATGATGAGGTCGTGTGTGATGGGGTCCACCAGGTTCCGGAAGCTGGCATAGCGATACAGCACATCATCCAGTGAGGTTGACTCCATGCCCAGGTCCTGCAAGAGCAGAGGATGCCCAAAGGTCAGGGGACCAGCCAACCCATGTGGTGCATCCAGAAGTGGGTGCACACTCTGGAGGCAGCTCAGCTGCCCCCAGAGCCCAGGCAAAGATGTCTAGAGAACATCCCCCAGGGGACAAGGACAAGCCCCTGCCTGTTCCTTTATCTTCAGCTGAGGAGCAGATCTAAATCTGTAGATGCCCAGTCTCCTCAGTTCATACAGGTTTTGGTTTATACACCTCTGCCAGGACAGTGCCCCAAACAGCCTCTGGCATTCCCCAGGGTGAAGCCACAGGCAGCCAAACTCTGTGCTGGTAGCTACCTCATGGAAGCAGAGTCTGGAACATATAGACTGCCTTGGGACAGGACAGTTCCTTGACCTCTGTGTCTTCTTCCTGCTTCTAAATGTCACAGGATTGCTCTTTCTGTAGACCACCAAGTTCAGGGCTCCTTTGCCTGAGAGGTTTCTGAGTTGTGGGGTTCTAAAGGAGAAGCTTCTAGGTAACCATAAAAAAATCTCACCATGACCCCCTCAGAGAGGGGGTTCAAGTGGGGTTCCCAGGGGAAGGAGGCCATGACAGTAATCACCACTGGGTGGGGCAGGCTGGCAGCAGAAACCACGAAAGCAATTTTTCTAGCCTGAGGAGGGACAAGGTTTTAGGCGTTACAGAGCTTCAGGTGTGTGGCATTTGAAGAAATAGTGGAAGCAGGCTTCAAAACACATCTCTGACCTTTGTCTAGAGTAAGTCATAGCCTCATTCCAAAGGGCTCCCCTCAGAAGAATCTGAACAAACAGGACTTGCCTAGTTTCTCCCAGTTGGTCATTAGATTGTGACCTTTGTCCTCCAATCAGACTTCTATATACTGTCCATAAAAATACACAGATTTCAAGGCTGGGGAGACGCCTTAGCTGGTAAAGTGCTTGTCATGCAAGTGTGAGGACTGGAGTTTGGATCCCTGGCACCCACATAAAAGCTGGACAGGTATAGTAGTCCACCTGTACTCCTAGCATTAGGGAGGTGGAGTTAGAGGATCCTGGGGACAAGCTGGCTCAGTCAGACTCACAGAATCCTTGAGCTCTGCATTCAAGTGAGACTCTGCTTCATTACTAAGGTGGAGAGCAATGGAGGAAGACAGTGGGCTTTGACCTCTGGCTTCCACATGCACCCCCAACACGTGTGCCCACACAAGTGCATCAACACCACACACGTCACACATAAAAACAAAACAAACATAGGGCTGGAGAGATGGTGCAGCAGTTAAGAGCACTGACTGCTCTTGCAGAGGACCCGGGTTCGATTCCCAGCACCCACATGGCAGCTAAAAACTCTCCTTAACTCCAGTTCCAGGGGAATCTGAAGCCTTCTTCTGACCTCTGCAGCAAACAAAAAAATACACAGACTTCTGTTTCTTTGGGCTTTTATTTTGTGGAGTTGGGGATGGAACTCAAGGGTTTTGTACATGGTAGGCAAGTGCTCTACCACCAAGCTATACTCCCAGCCCACCTCTGAATTTTTACTTCAGAAGGCTCCCCCCTTCTCACACAAATTGTTATATGTGTTTATGTATCCACCATTAATTTGAGGATGGGTGAGGAAAAGACACTTTTTCTACCCAGCGGGTACCACAGAAACTCATCAGTCCTCAAGGGGCACTGGAAAGGGGCCCAGGGTTTTTTAGCAGTTAGATCTCTGCGAGTGATGAAAGAAGGGACCTCTGCCATGGATCTGGAGGGGCTGAGGCCCTGTGCCCTTCTCCTGTGGGGAACTTTGCAGGGCACATGCACTGAGTTCTCTCTGCCATGGTTATGACAGCTTCACTGGAGTTTTAGTGTGGGGAGCTCTGCCTTCTACTTGGCAGGCAAAAGCCTTGAAGGGTGTCTGCATTGCAGTGTGCTATGTTCTCTGGCAGCTCAAAGTTTCCTGGGGAGCTGGACCCAGTGACACAAGCTGCAGTGTGATTGAGGGCAGCTTCTGAGGAGCTGGCTGCCAAGTTCGAGTCAACTGCAACAATGGCCTTGATCTCTGTCCTCTAATGCCTGTTCAGCCCTTCACAACGCTGCACCCTCAGGCAGTCTACCCAACACAGTTGAACCTGTGCCCTCTGTAAACAGAGATAGAGACCCTCGCATCAGAAATTGGCATGAAATAAAACTAGGAAACAAGGGTAAAGCTTCTGGCAGGTACCTGCAGGGACCGGTCCCTTTGTAGCTCCCACTCTACTCCCTGGCTCTTCACTTCCTGCCACTCCTTCCCTACCTTACTATGTAGCTGTCCTGGATCACAGACCCATCTGAGACTGTGTCAAGAGCCCAAACTCTTCAGAAAAACACAGGAGTCAGGGCAGGACCGGGACTTTGGCATATGAAGTCCACAGTAGCTTTCTGGTCAGAAGGGTATGGAATCCTAGGAGTCACACTATTACCTAGTAAAGGGCAAAATATACCCCAGTCTGCTTGGGTCATGAAGAGGCTGGGAAGGCAGAAAGGCAAGTCCAAGGGTGTAGGTTGTAGGTTCTCAGAAGGTCCCTGCGGTTAAAGGGCCCTGACCTAGCATTCAGCTTCCCAGTCAGAACCCTGCTTATAGTTTAAGGCTCTTTTTCTTGGGGACCAGGAGGTGGAGAAGGCAGAGGAGAGAAGTGGAGACATGGTAGTGAGTCCCAGGGCTAGAGGCTGGACTGGTTAGGGAAGAAAGTCAGATGTATGGGATCTTTCTTTTCTTTCCTTTCTATGTAGCTCAGGCTGGCCTCAGACTTGCAATCCTCCTGCCTCAGCTTCCTTAATGCAGCGATGGTGGGTTATGTTATATGCAGAAGGAGATTTTCTTTTAGTCTATCCTGCAAGCTGGGCTGCCCCTTTGTGGCTGTTGGCTTACTGCTGGTCTCCCTCTTCTTCGCCCCTGTATGCCTGTCCTCAGGATAGATTTCACACCTGGTGATCTCAGGCTCTGGGAGACCCTTTAGCCTTAGTAAGTCTGGGGGCAAGAGGTCTCCCTCTTGGGATGTGTTTTTCCTGACTGCATGGGCAGGTAAACTGCAATAGCAGTTATCCAACTGTGCTCCAAAGTCCTGGGGTCAGTGGGTGGGACTAGGGAGGATAAGAGGGAGGCAGAGGAGGGTATGCTTTGGGTAACTGAGTCACAGGCTAACAGTCTTCTCATGAATTCTTGCTGAGGTGGGGCTCCTAAAGGAAACACCAGCCTGGGGCCCAGTAGAGCTGCTGCACACTGCCTGTTTTCTGACCCTGCCTGGGTGCAAGGATGTTAGTGCTGCTTTCGGGCACTCCACGGTCTGAGGACTTCAGGCCTCCTTGCTATCTTCTTTATATCTCTTCCTCAAAGCCAGTTTATTGGGAACGTTTATGTCACTGTCCATAGGCTGGGTGTGAAGGAGAGAAGCTAACCAGCCCCTCAGAGTGACCCAGGCAGCTGCAGCCTGGGCCACAGCCCGGGGGGAATGGGCTCCTCTGACTTTGCAGTCATGGAGGTACCAGTAATGCAGAGGGAAGGAGAAGAATCAAATCCAGATGTGGCCCCTTCCCAGGCACTAGTTCTGGAAGGGCTGGTATGCCTTGCAAAACATGAGACATACCACTGTGGGTCTAAACAGAACATTTCTAGGAATTGCATATACAGACGGCTCCTCATCAGAAAGTCTGGGCATTTATTATCAATCAGCAGGCATACCTGAGCCACTGCTGGGGTGGGAGATCTGCTCAGAGGGTGTGGCTGGCCTGGCCCCAAGCCACTAACTGCTCCATGGCTTAAGAGGCTGTACGTAGAGGTAGCAGGCATACAGCGTATCTCATGTCAGGGTCCCACAGGACATGAGCCCAGATAACCAGGTTGGGAGACATTTTTCAACTGGACAAGGATGATGGGTCTGGAGCTGGGGGCTTCCAAAAGGTGAGTCTAGACTCACACAGGAGGTCAGAACAACATTTCCCTAAGTATGGTCTTTTAAAGACCTTGGTGCAGAGCCTCAAGACCTTATGAGGGCTCTGCAAGGGCCTCTTCCAGTGGCATAACCTGTGCTACGCGTCTTCATAGATCAAAACAACCTGCTGCAATGGTGTGAACACAGAGCGGTGGAGGATGTGGGACATGAGATGTTCACAGCAGGGGGCAGGCCCTCTTCCCATGCATTTATTTCCTTTTGGAAAGTTTAGTTACTTAAAAATTACTTCTCTCATAGGTAAGTTTGTTTTTAATTATTTAAATTGACAAAAGAGCTTTGCTGAGATGTAATTCACATGTCATATAATTTACTCACTGAAAGGACATAGTCTGGGGCTGAGGCACAGCTCAGAGCCAGAGCATATGTTTAACATGTGTGAGGCCCTGGGTTCATTCCCAGCACTACACACACACACACACACACACACACACACACACACACACACATACACACACACACATATGTAAATTCAGTGGCTTTCAGTACGTTGACAGCTTTGTGCAACCACTACCACAATGAATTTTAAAACATTTTTCATAACCTAAGAAAGAAACTTCATAACCACTACCTCACTCTTAATCCTCCCCTCACTGGCGCCAGAAAGTCACTTACCTACTTTCTGTCTCTATAGGTTTCCTATTCTGGACTTTTTCTCTTATTATCTAACTGCAATTATATTTCCTTCCAGCAACATTACCTTCTTCCTTATTATTACTAATTTTAAATAAATAAATAAGTCCTTACTCTCTGTTTTAATTTTTAATACTGTAACTACCACTAGACCTTCATAAGAGAAATTTCTTTGAAGCTCTCAATAATTTTAAAGACTATAAAGGGGTCCTGACAGCAAAAATATACAGAAACTGCTATGATAGAAGGGCATGTTGCTCCAAGAGAAAGGGGTGAACATGGAAGGACTAGGGAGTCCCCAGGAAGGCTATGCCCTCTGCATCCTAAAAAAAATCCTCTGGACATACAGCTAGCTTCTCCTATTACCCCAATCCTCCAACGAGGTTCCCAGTCTATGTGGGGTTCAAGAGAGAT